TCCTTGCCTTCACTCGAAGATTTATTTCGTCAATATAATCTACTGAAGATACATAGTTATAGTCCTCAGCATCAAGATGTATTGTATGTTGTGTTGATATTTATTACAAACTATAACGAGCACCTGCTCTCTAACTGAGAAGAGTGGGCCCTCTCTCCCCCGTGACCACGTCTGGCTTGGGCTTTTTCGGCTCTTGGCTGGGGCTTTGGGGGGGCAGTTAGGGCGATCAGGCAGGCAGTGAGCAGTAGAGTCAGCGTCCCGAATTGTGAGAAGGATGTCCAGAATTGAGAGATGCTGGCTGGACTGAAGGGGAGACCTCCCCCCCCAACCCGCCCCGTGCACGAATTTCATGCACCGGGCCTCTAGTATTAAATATAATCACTGCTACTGTCTATACTCATTGTAAAATGCTTGAAAAATACAGAAAAGTATAACAGAGAAATCTAGAGTGATCCCCAAATCTCACTACCCAGGGAGGATCATTAACATGTTGCTGTCTGTTTCCCAGTCTATCTATGGAATGCTGGATCATACTGAATATATCATATAGTTTGAGAACCCTGGCTTGCACTTTATCAAGCATTCTTGCACAAGTTTGTTACTTAATTTGAAATGCTACTTTAGTTCATACTAGCTATCTAAGAAAAATAAACCCAGTACCTTCTTTCATCTTTTTAAGAACAATACAGGGGTTTAAGAGAAGGCAACTTGTTAGCAGCGAAAGCACGAGGCTTGTTGGTAACTGTCCGGAATAAGACACTGTTAAGCACATGCACCACTGCTTGCCTGCCATTCAAGGGGCATTAATAGTGTCCTCTTAAGATTCACATTCTATCTGAGGCTAAAAGTGAGCAGCTCCCCTGCGCTTGTGTGGATGAGGTAAGGGAGTGCACGCAGAGGGTGCTGGCAGGAAACACCTCTTCCCCATATTCCTGACTTGGCCATAAACAAGGGAACTTCGGTTTTCCTTCCATTTGCTGGCCAGAAGGAAGGTGGAAGGAGTCACCGCTGGGTGAGAGTCCCAGGGGCTATGCTAGTGGTGAGCGCTGACAGGCCTAACAGCATGAAAGGGGCTCCACTGTGCACCGCCCTATGCTTCCCAGGTCAGGGACCGAAAGGCCTAAACCCGGAGTGCCCAGCGGCCCTTTCTCTTTCCCGTTTCCACTAGCACCTGGTCGGATAAGTGAGAGAGGCCACTTGCTGGGGTCTGATTCTCCTACTTTACAGATGAGGAAGCAGGATACCTCATTATTTACTGTAGGCCTAAGCCAGTGCGGCTTTATAATTCCTAAAGCCTGGATTTCCTTTGCAGTGACCTCGCTGGGGCTCAAAGAGGAAGGGAGAGGAGAGACGGGTCTAGAAAGTCAAAATCACCAACAAAAGCTGCCGTGGCAGGTGATGCAGCTAGCCTGGCGGTGCCTCTGAAGCCGCCAGTAGACCCTCCCGTCCAGTATGGCAGTCCTGGGGTGGGTAGAGGACTCGGGTCGTTTCCTCAATGGAAGGTGTAGGAAAGGCGCAGCAGGTTTAACCTTGAACCGCCCGGGGAAGGGAGAGGGAGGGGCTTGGAGTTGGAATGTCAGAGATGACCCAGGGAAAATGACAGCCCTGCCCTCTCACCTCGGACCAGTCTCCCGACTTCCACCGTGGACAAGGGAACTCATTGCACCTCTGAACGGTGACTTTCTCCTGATGTGTGCATTTGCTGTCATCCAGGACATCATTTCGGGTGTTGACACAAACAGCCCTTCTCCTCTGGATTCCGCCATCACAGCTTTCAGAACACTGAAAAGACAACAAAAAAAAAAACGAGTTTCTTGCCAAGCACTGTCGAGATCCTGGCTGAGATGGCTTGTCCCTGCCAGACCTCAAGACACAACCAACCAACCAAGCCTGGCCAATCTGGTTGTCATTTTGGGACTCTCTGTTCACATTATCAATTTACTTAACAGGTTTATAAATGAGCATAGAAAAATAAAATCAGAAATGGTCCACGGGGTATGAAAAAAGTGATTTGTTGAGTAGGTGGACCATTCCCAGTTTTCCACATGCCATGGCCGCATCACACATTACAGATTAATCATGGCGCTCTTTTTCGCAGATTTCGAATGGGGTCAGGCATCATAAATCAATCATGGTACTCTTTCCATACTGCTACACGGGGTTTCTCAACACAGCCCTAAGGAATGAATTAGCTGATTCATCCTCATCCACGAATCAGACTTAGCACTTGAAAAGACTGTCTTTCAGAGAGAAGCAACTCACTTCAGTCCAAGCAGAGTAGTGCCAGCCCCCGGTGTTACATTCTCCTGAGCATTTTTCCTGGTTGCTTGGTTTGGGGTGACTGCTGCAAAAACGGTCATCCACCTTCTCGGTCCTCCCGTCCAGCCGGCTGTATCTGGCACAGTAGATGTCTAACGTGCGGTAGCCCAGGCCACACTGGGCACTGCACTCACTCCTGCTGGCCACCTGCCACCTGTGCACACCGGGACGACACCAAGACTTCTGTTATCTACATTCAGCTGCTGGAAGAGTTGACTTCATTCCCTCCCTCCCCCCCCTTAACTCAAACACCATCAAACTATAGTCAGTTATTGAAATCCAATTTTAAACCAACATATCCCTGTATTTTTCATGGCTGCCAATGTACATGGAAGTCACAGACTGATAACTAGAGGTTCTGTCTTTGTAAAGGTTCTCTCCTGATAAAATCTAAAATTCAAGCAACCAAAAGGGGAAAAAAACCCACCAGAAGTCAACAGAGCAAAAGAGCAATTTTATATTTAAAAGGTTCATGCTACCAAGCATTTCATTTATTAAGCAGACTGCTTCTACAGAGAACAACTTTGGGAACCCCCCGGAAACCTCCCTCATGTGGGCCTGTGCTAGAAGGTGGGCAGTGAACATTCTGATCATTTGGACTGTAATTGTGGAGTTATGCGTGCTAAACTGTGTACATTACTACCTGTGAGTAAAGACCTTAAGTTACTCGAATACAAGTACCATAGTCTATATAACTCAATTATAAAATTTTTTTAAAAATGAGACTTTATTTTTTTTAGAGCAGTTTTAGGTCCAGGCTAATGTTGAGAAGAAGGCATGGAGATTTCCCATATACTCCCTGCCTCTCCTCCCCCCCAACCCCCACCCACCACCGACCACATCCTCTATTATCAGCTTCCCCCACCAGAGTGGTATGTTTGTTTAATAGATGAACCTACGTTGATGCATCCTTATCACCAAAGTCCCTAGTTTACATTAGAATTCACCCTTGGTGCTGTACATTCTATGGGTCTGGACAAATGTGTAATGACAGGTGTTCACCATCCTATATAATAAAAGGGTAATATGCAAATTGACCGAACGGTGGAACAACATTGCTATGTTGCACACTGACCACCAGGGGGCAGACGCTCAACACAGGAGCTGCCCCCTGGTGGACAGTGCGCTCCCACAGTGGGAGCTTTGCTTAGCCAGAAGCCAGGTTCACGTCTGGCGAGCGCAGCGGTGGTGGGCAGGAGCCTTTCCTGTCTCTGGGGCAGTACTAAGGATGTTGACTGGGGCTAAGCCCTCTCCCCAAAGGGCACAGGCCTAAGCCATCAGTCAGACATCCCCTGAGGGCTCCCAGACTATGAAAGGGTGCAAGCCGGGCTGAGGGACTCCCCCCACCCCCGGGACTTCTTCCCCCCAGTGCATGAAATTTCGTGCACCAGGTCTCTAGTATAACATAATACTCTAGAGCAGCGGTTCTCAACCTGTGGGTCGAGACCCCTTTGGGGGTCGAATGACCCTTTCACAGGGGTTGCCCTAAGACCATTGGAAAACACATATATAATTACATATTGTTTTTGTGATTAATCACTATGCTTTAATTATGTTCAATTTGTAACAATGAAATTGGGGGTCACCACAACATGAGGAACTGTATTAAAGGGTTGCGGCATTAGGAAGGTTGAGAACCACTGCTCTAGAGAGTATTTGTGCTGCCTTAAAACTCCTCTGTGTTACACTTGTTATTCTTCCTTACTGCTCCACAATTATGTATTTTAAAAACTAGATTTGAATCTACAGATCTTTGTAGCCTTTCTTGGCACACAACAGGTGCTCAGAATGGTATAATAAATTCTTTTAATGCTCAGGAACATGGTCAGTGCTTAAATAAAAAATGCTGAAATTGAATTTATTTAGAATAGTCTAAATAAACTTGAAATATATTGTGTTGATTAAATCTAATAATAAAAAAGATGCTTTCTTTACCATCTTCATTTGGATTTGCTCTTTATTGTTAATGCTGTATTGTTCAGAAATTCAGTGGCTTGGTGAGGCCCTAAGAATTCTTCCATCCACACCTGTCCAGGGCAAGGACGTGGGAGAAAATAGTACTGGACACAAGCTTATCTCGGAATTCCTCACTAATGCTCACAAGTAGGTCAGAGTTGACCTACTTTTACATTTGGCATGTAAAGTGGGCTAACGGGATTTTGCTCTAATCGGAACATGTTACATGAGGGACAGTAAAACAACGCTTTATCTCATCCTGCCAAAGTTTAATCTGGGTGAACCCTCACTTCCCTGAGGAAGTGAGGCAAAACCCTGGACCAATTCAGCAGAGGCAGCTGGAACTTTCATCTGCCCTTCGGTTCCTGGCTACCTCCACTTTGCCTTCCTCACCGTTTCCGTGTAAAAAGGTTATTTCCCATCCTGGATGAGGGAGGCGGGAGTCCTGCCCCCACAGTGCAGGCTGGAAAAACACTGTGGAGACTCCCTGATAGTCACACAATGCCCGGAATCTGAGCAGAGAACCTGGAAGAGTGTCAAAGGTCATACACTGCCCTGGGAAAGGTCTCAAAATGGGATCCTTTGCTTCACAGTCTCTCCCTCCAAGGTGGTCTCAACTAGTGTTCTGAATTCATTCGGTTCATTTCATGTAACAATTGTATTTTGTTACTCTATTTCAGAAAAGCCAAGTGTCTGTTATTAAGTGAAACAGAAAAAAATGTGCTGTCTCTATGGGTGGGTGCGGCATTACTTTGGGAGCTACGATTTAAGCAGAGTTCTACATCTCAGAGCCTTCCGAATGCTCATCAGCGCTACGGATGTCCACGCAGGGGAGGAGACAGTCAAACATCCTGGCCGGCCAGGGGTCATCTCATGGAAGTAGAGTTCCACAAACATGCTTTGGGCAAAACTATTTTAGAGTTTGGCCATCAGTAACAATTCTCTCCTCAGTCTTTTAGCTTTGCACATGGCCACTTGGCAATACTCAGCATAAATCACAATTATATAAACTGTCAGGTTGACAGAAAAAAGAGAAAACACCTCCTTTGGGCTCGGTTTGTGTCTGTTTTTCAGTGAACAACTTCTACCAGACGTTTCCACTAAAAGACATGGCTACCACTCCTTCGCCTTTTCTTTTATCAGCCACAGGTGCTACTCTCATCCAAGCCTGTGCCCTGAGCTGCTGTCCTCCTTTGGTCTCATTAGAGTTGAAGTATTTCTTTTTTTAAGCTAAGTATAAAAAAGATGACTTTCTTTGAATAGGAAATTTAGAATAGCAACTTTGACATACCTATTATATGATGAAATGAAAAGATTTTAAACGCTGGTTTCACCTTGGTCATGTGAAATTATCTATATATATAAAAGCCTAAGCGACCATTATGACTGGTCGACCAAACGACCAGTCGCTATGACACAGACTGACCACCAGGGAGCAGACGCTCAATGCAGGAGCTGCCCCCTGGTGGTCAGTGCACTCCCACAGCCAACCTCCCACAGTTGGCCAACCTCCTGTGGTCCCTACCCCCAGCCAGCCCCGATCAATCACCAGCCAGGCCGAAGGACCCCACCTGTGCATGAATTTGTGCACCGGGCCTCTAGTTTTTAATAAAAGTGAGAGGATGATTTATGAAATCAGAAAGACTTAGGTGTGAAGTCGAGCTCTAACACTTTTTAGCTATAGACCCTACGTAGACCCCAAGCTTCAGCTTCCTTATCTGTGAAATGGGGGAAACAGGATTCTTTTTGCGGGGCTACTGGAAAGATGGGAAGGCCAGGCATGTGTAACATTGAACACACATAACACCCACTCAAGAAAAGTGGCTATTAATTACTACTACTACTGCTCTCGGTATTGTACTCTCCAGCCAGTTCAAGTATCATGTACCTCCGTATAAACCACAACACAGTTTGAGGAGACATCCAGTTGAGATCTGCCATATAATTCTTCCTAAGTCTCATGGATTCCAGGCGCCTTCTCAATGTATTTGCTTTCTAAAATTTCCTTTCATTGTGATTTTATATCTGAGAGCTTCCACTGCAGGAGAGACTCTGGGAGACCATCAGCTTAGCTGGCATCACTACCAACTCCATGGTATCTGACTGGAATTTGTTTGAAGTGAGCATTTTTAGTTCCTTGAAGTAACAGTTCAAACAACAGCTCCACCTCAAATTGTTGCTCCTTGGGTACACTTAAGCAGGTTCTTAAAGAATCTTTTTTTTTTTTTTTACTGGTAAGGTCATGTCCTAGTACTGGAGATGCTTTGCACAAACTTGTCTTCCCCACAATGCAATGAGAGGA